AGGAGGAGGAGGAGGAGGAGGAGGAGGAGGAGGAGATTGGATTTATACCCTGCCCTTGACTTGGAGTCTCAGAGCGGCTTACAAACTCCTTTCCCTTCCCCACAACAGACACCCTGTGAGGTAGCTGGGGCTGATAGAGCTCTGAGAGAAACTGCTCTTTTTGAAGAACAGCTCTGAGAGAACTTGTGCCTGGCCTAAGTTCACACCAGCGGCTGCATGTGGAGGAGTGGGGAATCAAACCCGGTTCTCCCAGATTAGAGTCCGCGCACTTAACCACAACACCAAACTGGCTCCGCTTTACCCAGAAGCAAATCTCATTATATTCAGCAAGGCTGACTCTCAGGGAAGTCTTTTCAGGATTACAGCTTTCACGTCCCCTCCCTCCGCAAATGCTTGGACGTTTCTGTCACCCGGCACTCCCCCCCCCTTCTAAATGCAAGCTGGCAGCTCCTAATTAAATCTTGCTTTTCCTGGCCATTTCCTCCCGTGCCCCAGCTAAATCCCCACACATCATCTCTAGCTCAATGGTGATCCTTTCCTGAGCGGCGGCCCAGCCCGGAGGTTTGCTGTCCCTCTCCCAGCGCCTGGCCCCGCCAGGAGAAGGAGGCAGTCTAAAAATACCGCTTAAGACCTGAGCTAATTTGTAAATCCCCGCCTTTACTGTGAAGATGCCCACCTCTGCCAGGCGGGCTCCTTCTCTGCTTGGCATTACCGTCATCCTTAAGAATGGCAAATCCTTCGTGCCACCGTCCCCACTCCTCCTCGTTCAGGCCACATAGCCATGATCCCAGCCTTAAACTCGGTAACGCCTTAAAGCCCAAATAACCGTGACGCTTTTCTCTTCCTTCCTTCTCCGGCTCATCTTCCAGGACCAGTTGGAGATGATTCTGCTGCCCCCTGAGATGGTATAGCCATGCCCTTCTTCCAGGAGGGGATGCCAGGCACTGTCGGGTGCCACCGACGGCTGGGAGTGAGGTGAGCCCTTGCTGTGCCTCGGCACCCTTCACATTGCCGCCCCCGGCGATCACTTGGTTGGCTTGGGCAGAGAACTGGCCCTGTAGGTTTCTGCAGATGACGCTGCCTTATACTGAATCAGACCCTTGGTCCATCAGAGTCTGTATTGTCAAGTCAGATCAGCAACAGCTCTCCAAGGTCTCAGGCGGAGGTCTTTCCCATCACCTACTGCCTGGTCCTTTTTAACTGGAGATGCTGGGGATTGAACCCAGGACCTTCTGCATGCCAAGCAGAGGCTCTTCCACTGAGCCACAGCCCCTCTTTACAGCTCTCCAGGGTCTCAGGCGGAGCTCTTTCCTATCACCTACTGCCTGGTCCTTTTTAACTTGAGATGCCGGGGATTGAACCTGGGACCTTCTGTATGCCGATCAGGTGCTCTTCCACTGAGCCACGGCCCCTCTTGACAGCTCTCCAGAGTCTCAGGTGGAGGTCTTTCACACCACCTGCTGCCTGGCCCTTTTAACTGGAGATGCCAGGAATTGAACCTGGGACCTCCTGCCTGCCAAGCAGGGGCTCTTCCACTGAGCCATGGAATAGAGCAAAAGTCCAGTCGCACCTTAAAGAGTAACAACATTTGTGGCAGGGTACGAGCTTTCAAGAGTCACAGCTCACTACTGAAGATGCACAGAAGCTCCTCCCCTGCCACAAATCTTGTTCTTCTTTAAGGTGCGACTGGACTCTTGCTCTTTTCTACTGCTACAGACAGACTAATATGGCTACCCATCTTAATCTACCACCACTTCCCGTGGCCATGAATTCCACGTGTTAATTACTCTTTACAGGGGTCATTTCGTAGAAAAAGAGGGGCAGGAGCTCATTAGCATAACTCATTAGCATAACTCATTTGCATCTGCCACACCCCCTGACATCACCGGAAGTGTGTCAGAAGGTAACACCCACCGCTCAGGCTTCACTGGACTGTTTTGGATTGCTAGCTATGGGTGGGGGGGACGTGCAGAACTGTCCTCACGGAGGAGGGAGAGCTTGTACCTGAATAAAACTTGGTCTTAAAGGTATCACTGGACTGTTTTGGACCGGGGGGCCTCTGCAACTTACCTGGCTGCTTCTTGCTCTGACTGAGGGCCGCTGGGAGCAGGGGGTGGGGCTTGTTGCATGTGCCCACCCCTTGGGCTCTTTACTGCTGGAGCTCCGCTCTTGTGTGCTCCTGCAGGAAATGACCCCTGGTTGGAAGCTGCCTTGAAACACAAGGAAAGGCAAGATATAAATGTATATCCTGGTTTTAACTGGAAATGTGTTTTAACTATTGTTGTAAGCCACTTTGGAACACAAGGAAAGGTGAACTATAAATGCATGTTCTGGTTATAACTGGAAATGTCTTTTAACTATTGTAAGTCACCTTGAAACACGAGGAAAGGTGGGATATAAATGTTTTAATAGGTAATAAATATATAAATAAATCATGGCCCAAGGATCTCTCAATGTGGACCTGCTTTGAGGCTCATAAGCATCTCGGGACCCACTGCTCCGTGCCAGTTTGGCCTAAGTGGATGGAGGCATGACTCAGCAGGAGGGAGGGGGGGCGGGAAGCAGAAGTCACGTGGTTCTTGCCACACGCTGTTTACTCCATGTACACAACAGACAGCTAGCTGAGTCACTGCAAACCCCAGGCCTCTCCCTGGACTTACTTCCAGAGTGGTGATTCCCGGAACGGATCGTATAACTCACCTTCCACTCTCTGCGTAAGATAAACAAGGAAGAGTAAATGGAGAAAAAGCTGAACATTCAAAAATAGTGACATTCAAAAGCCACTGGGAGAACCCCCTTCTCTCCTCAATAGGGGCAGCTACACCATTCTCCTCTCTTTCATTTTATCCTCAGCACAACCCTGTGAGGTAGGCTGGTCTGCAAGCTAGTCTGCGAGTGTGTGGAGAGTCCCAAGGTCACCCAGCAAGCTTCCATGGTGGGGAGATTTGAACCTGGGTCTGAGTTCGACAGTCTAACCACTACCCGCACCCCACTCTCACACACTGTTTCTTCTCAGAGTGTGTGAGCTGTGATGTTTTGTTTGTGAGTGTGTGTGTGTACACTCTGCCTTTCCCCCCAACAGGCACCCAAAGGTGCTTACATCACTTCTCCTCTCCTCCATTTTATCCTCACAACAGCCCTGCGAGGTAGTTCAGGCTGAGTGCATGTGTCTGGCCCGAGGTCACCCAGCAAGCTTCCAGGGCAGTCTGGGAGTGTGTCATGGGGTTAAAAAGAGATGACACGGATTGTGTTTGGGGCAGTTTAGATTTTACTTCTGGGCTAAGGTTGCCAACTGGTGGTTGGGAAATTCTTGGAGATTATTTTTTTGGGGAGGGTGGGTGGGAGCCTGGTGACGGTGGAGTTCGGGGGCTGGAGGGAGCTGGGCAGAGATGTGATGCCCACCCTCCAAAATGGCTGTTTCTTCCAGAGGAACAGATCCTTGTAGTGTGGAGACCAGTTGTAAATCTGGACGCTCTCCCTCTAAGGACTAGAAACTTGTGAAGTTGAGGCTGAAGCATGGGGGGGGGGGGAACCTCAGAAGGGTACAATGGCACAGAGCCACCCCCCTCTATGGTGGTGACAGAGCCCACCCCTCCAGAGCAGCCATTTCCTCCCAGGGGAACGGGGCTCTCTGCAGTGTGGGGATCCGCTGTGATTCCGGGAGAACTCCAGGCCCCACCTGGAGATCGGCAACCCCAGGACCGGCCGGCCCATAACCCTCTTCTAGAAAGGCCCGGGATCTTCCCCGCCCGCCCCAACTCTGACTCAGCACAACCGGTGCAGTCAACTGACACTGGCTTCATAAAGAGACGGAGACGAAGCGGATTGTTCGGGGGCGCGAGTGACGTCACCGCCGGCCCCTTCAGACCGGAGAATCGGGAAAGAGGCCGCGGCAGATGAATGACTCAGCAGCTGAGATCCGGGTTATTTAAACCTCCTCTCGTGGGCTGGGAAAAGTTGGAGAAGAGGAGCTGGAGAAGACGGTCTTGGCAAGTAAGTCGATAAGCTTGGTTTGTTTTTATTTTTTTCCTTCTGGTTTCCTGGCTTCTCATGTTATGTTTTGCCCTGGAGGTATGGGGGGGGGGGGGGGGTTTTTTTATTCTGTGGGCACCTGGAAGTTTTATTCTGTGGGCACCTGGAAGCTTACACCCAGAATAAAACTTTTGTTGGTCTTAAAGAGGCCACTGGAGTCAAGCTTTGCTCTGCTGCTTCAGATCAACACGGTGACCCACCTGAGTTAATTTTGGGGCATGTCGTTACTCAAATAGGGTTTCGAGATGTCCCCTTTTTAGAGGACACGTCCTCTTTTGTCGGTGTCTGACCTCTTTGGGGCTCTTTTTAAAGTAAAACTGATGGGAAAATGTCCTATTTTGCGGTTGGAAGCCTAGGAATATTCCTAGTTAGTCGCAATGATCACATTTTAAATAGAAGAAGAAGAGATTGGATTTATACCCCGCCCTTCACTACCCAAAGGCATCTCAGAGCGGTTTACAATCTCCTTTCCCTTCCCCTCCCCACAACAGACACCCGGTGGGGCTGAGAGAGCTCTGACAGAAACTGCTCTTTTCCATTTCTCTTATCAGAGCTACCGCTTGCCCAAGGTCATCCAGCCAGGTGCAAGTGGAGGAGTGGGGAATCAAACCTGGTTCTCCCAGATCAGAGTCCACGCACTTAACCACTAGTATATCACTGGGGTGTTTAAAATGAGGTTTGTCACAGCGATCTCTCGTTTGAAACAGTCGGTTGGGGAAAATGTCCTCTTTTTTTGCTTTTCAAAGTATCATAGCCCTAATTAATATTAACCTGTAATAATGGCAGTTTCCCCCCCCCCCCTTTTGCAGAATATTAAAGTGGCATGTGATGTTTTCTTGTTCCTGTGTGATGAATGCTTCCCCGTCCTTCTCATCCCTTCCCTCTCCAAGATGGAAGTAGCAAAGGTATAAGAAGCTGGATAATTACGGGATGCAGCTTCTAAGATTCTTAGTGCAGTCTCCTACTATCTCCCCCCCCCCACCCCGTGTCTCAGCTGGCCTTCCCAGCACGGTGCTTGGATACACAAAATCCCTGTTGAAATAATCTTTCCTGTGAGCACCCTTGTTCTATTGTGGAGTTACTACAGAAGGGATATTGGGTGTTCCCTGGTGTAAAGGGCAGAAAACAGTCTCTCTTCTCTCCCCATGCCTGCCTGGGAGCTCTTTGTTGAGATAGGAGAGGTCCTGGGCTGAACGTCACAGTTCATGTAGTGGATTTGTCTCAGAGCAGGATCTGTAAGTAACTCTTGTCATCTAGGGTGGGTCCTTTCTCTCTCTTTCTCTCCCTCTCCTTGTTCTGGATTATCAGCTGTGTTGGTCTGAAGCAGTAGAACCAATTTGTAGTCCCGTGGCACTTTTAAGACCAGCAAAGGTTTATTCAAGGTATGAGCTGTTGTGTGCAAGGTGTTCCAAGCTGGAGATCTCATCCCAGGGGGGTTAGGTCCACCCAAGTTGACCCAACATAATCGTTATTTCTAAAGGGAAGGGTACACAGGAAAATCTACAAACAACAAACACTTAAGACTACATGCTTGCAACAACAAACAGACCAGATAGTAATGGAGATTCTTCCTTTCTTCTTGACCCCTAGAAGGAAATCCCCTGAATGCATTAACCAATGATTGTTAGTAAATAGTCTTCCGTTTCCGGGCTTTCTCCTCATTGGCTTTGTGCCAGGTTCCCTTCCAGGTTAAGGTAAAGCACATTACCCCTATAATGACTGACTTTAGACCTTGCAACACACATATTTCCAACACAAGGCACACTTTGCCTTGCACACGAAAGCTCATACCTTGAATAAACCTTTGTTGGACTTAAAGGTGCCACTCAACTCTAAATTGGTTCTCTTTGTTCTGTTTCGTGTTACCTTTCTTTGCTCTCCCACCATCCTCCATGGCGATTGGTTGACTAATTGGCGGCTTTTTTTTTACGTGGCCAGGGTAATGCCACGTTGGGGTCAGGACCAGTGTTCCCTCTAAGCTGAGTTAGTGTGAGCTAGCTCACAGTTTTTTAGCCTCCAGCTGACAGATTTTAGTCCTAGCTCAGGAAGGATGGCTCCAGAGCAAACTAATTTGTACAGTGGCCAAATCACTCGCTCACAACTTTAATGCCAGTTGCTCACCAAGTAAAATTTTTGCTCACAAGGCTCCACAGCTTCCCTCCACAAAGGGAACATTGACCAGTGTTGCCTCTAAGCTGAGTTAGTGTGAGCTAGCTCACAGCTTTTTAACCGCTGCCTTTGCTCAGGAAGGATGGCTCCAGAGCGAACTAATTGATGCAGCAGCCAAATCGCTCGCTCACAACTTTAATGCCAGTCACTCACAGTAGCATTTTTGCTCACATGACTCCACAGCTTAGAGGGAGCACTGGTCAGGAGGGAATACTCCTCCAGGTCAGATTGCCCTAGATATCCTGGAGGGTTTTTGCCTTCCTCTGGGCATACAGCAGGGGTCATTAAGAGAGTGGTGGTGGGGGAGATAGTTGTGAATTTCCTGCATTGTGCAGGGGATTGGACTGGATGACCCTTGGGTTCCCTTCCAGTTCTGTCTTTAAATGCATTTCTTCCTGTTCTCTCCCCCCCCCCCCTGGTTTGTATACCTGTTCTTCTGTGTCCCCCTTAACCTTGAAGTACAAAACCCAAAAATAATCTTGCTTTTTGTTCTGATGTGTCTGAAGAAGTGTGCATGTGCATGGAAGCTGATACCCAGAATTAAACTTTGTTGGTCTTCAAGGTGCCCCGCCGGACTCAAGACAGACCAACACGGCGACCCACCAGGATTTCTTTTCCGTCATACATCCAGCTGTAGTGGTCTGAAGCAGAAGAACAAATTTTGAGTCCAGCAGCATTCATCCCTTGAATAAACTTATGTTGGTCTTAAATAATAATACCACCTTTTGATTTATTGATCGCTCAATCTGGCAGAGCTGCTGGCTCTGAGCGATTTACAGTTACACGGTTTCACACAAGGGACTAACAATTTCATAGGGGTAAGAGAGGACAACATATAATTCTTTAAACCACACACATTTTGCAGCTGACGGGGATTTTTGTTCAGCTGTAGGCTTCAGACGTGTTCCGGAGGCATTCACTTTTCAGCTTGATGACGTTGGTTCTTCCTGGGCTGCTTTGAATCGTAGCGCCGCACTGCCACCGTCTGGCCGGATTGGCCTATTACAGGCTTCTTAACGCCGAAGAGGTCTTTTTATCAGGCTTCTGAGCTGGATATTCCGTTTCACCGGCTAACACCTCCCCTACGGGGGTTTAGTGTGCCCACCCTCTCTAAGGAGTGGTAGCCATTTTATCTACTCGCCAAAGCTTTTGAACTTTAAGGTGCTACTGGACTCAAAATTCTTTTCAGTCATGTTAGTCCTTCAGGTAACACTGCACACACACACACACACCCCTTTTCATAACTAAGACCTTGTTTAGTCTGGGAAGCACCTCCGACCAATTCAGTAGCCCATTAGACCATATTTAGTCCAGGCTTAAATAAGAAAAGGGATCCACATCATTGAAAACTGAAGATTGGCGAGCTCCAAGCCCAACGTCTTCTGTCTGTTTCTTCAGGTGCTGGAATTCGGGTTTTTAGAAGCGCCGCTACCAGCTCTGGGCACCTGCTGGAAGCCGAGGAGGTTTCAACCTGCGAAACTCGCTCCGGGTGACGGAGAGCGCTCGACGAACCGGCTGAGGTTTTTGCATCATGGAGTTCCCAGACTTGGGTGAACACTGCAGTGAGAGAACTTGCAAGCAACTGGGTAAGGACACACAGAAATGTGGCTGAACGGGGGGGGGGGGCAGAGTTTAGTGGGGGGTTTTTCCTCCCCTTGAACTCTACCTAATGAAAAGCAACCTGAACCTCTAGGAAAGAAGAGGAGTTCTACTGTGTTTGGCAGCAGGGTCTGTTGAATAGTTGCATGGAAATTACTTGAGGGAGGAACCAAAGCCCGGGAACTTCAGGGGGGCCTTGTTTGTGTCTGGAGCTGATGCATCGGACCTGGGAGCCGTTGATTTGGATTCAGTTCCCTGTTAAGGCAGGAAACTTTCTTTGTGAGTGGCCCAAAGCCGCAGTTTACCCTACCTTGCAGGGAGATTGTGTGCACAGAACGAATAGCCTATGTAGGCTGCCCTCTGCTTCTTGGGGGAAGGACTATCAAAGGAGAGCTGTAGTAGTTAAGTGTCATGGATCTGGGAGACCCAGGTTCGAATCCTCACTTCTGCCCTGGAAGCCTTGCATTTGGACCAGAGAGTGCGACCTCCTGTAGGATTTCTGCTTCAGAGGAGTACAATTTGACTTCTTTTCCAGTCAAGCTCTTACGATGTGTTCTCTCCTCGCAGATTTCTTACCCCTGAAATGCGATGCGTGTGGAGAGATCTTCTGTAAGGACCACATCGCATACAGCCGGCATAGATGTTCTTCTGCATACAAGAAGGTAGTTGGACCCAAAGACAAAGGCTCGATCTTCCTTAGGATAAGGTAGTAAAAAGCCCGGTAGCACCTTTAAGACAAACTTTACTGTAGCATAAGCTCCTGAGAAACACAGCTTGCTTCGTCAGAGGCATCTGACAAAGAGAGCTGTGTTTCTTGGAAACTTATGCTACAGTAAAGTTTGTTGGTCTTAAAGGTGCTACCGGGCTTCTTACTGTTTTGTAGAAACAGACTAACATGGCTAACTCCTATCGATTTTAGGATAAGAGAAGTTGTTGCATAACTAGGTAATAGTCCCTGCCAGCATCTGATTCACGGGGTCAAGAGCGGAGAGGCAAGCTGCTCAAAATTATATGAGAAACAGCCGGGTCTTCATATGCCAGAGGTTTCCTACCAGTGGCTTCAATGTCCAGCTCCTTTGATAATCAGGAACCATGAATAGTAATTCCTCTCCCTCCCAACTTTGGCCCGACTTGAAGCATGATGCTGGTGGGTAATGAGAGACTTCCCCAGGGGACTTTGCGTGAGCCAAGTCTGGTGTGAGCTGCTCCACTATCTTTACTTGGCAACTAAATTGGCTTGTGCATCAGAGAGTTAGCAGGTGAGGGTGTTAATTGAAATATGTGAGGCTCCTTTGCACAGGTAATAGACCAGGTTAAATGCATCCATGCCAAATTCCACTATAAGGCTGATTTTAGTGGTTGTTTTTTTTTTGAGAGAGAAAGAGATGTAGATGCAGCGAGGGGTGTGTGGTCGAGGTGGAATTCATCTAAAGTTTCTTGGTGAAGTTGTAGGAAGTGGTCCAGTTTCTGCACCTCCCTCATTGCTGTGGTTGATTTTATCGACTACTTAAATAAGCAAAATGCATACCTTTAAAAAAAATCATCCCTGGCTTTTTCAGCCAGCAGCTTCCAGAATGGAAGTGTTTGTGTTTTAATGTTGTTTTTTCTCTTGGCATTTTTTTTTTAATTTACGTTATGTATAGTCCACCTTTCCCAGTTGGACTCAGGGTGGATTACACAGAGCGAGCCTGTAGACAAAATGGGACATTCGATAGCCAGTTCATATCCCCGTGTCTGTGCGTTATTTTTAAATTAATTCTTAAATTAAATTTAAATTAATTACATGATTCTAAATGGGTAATTAATTAAATTAAATTAAACTAATTTTGAATTACTAATAAATTAATTTTAGATTAAGTAATTTATTAATTAAATAAAGCTGTGTTTATATGTGAGGCTCCTTTGCACAGGTAATAGACCAGGTTAAATGCATCCATGCCAAATTCCACTATAAGGCTGATTTTAGTGGTTGTTGAAGCTGCCGTACACTAATGAGACCCTTGGTTCATCAAAGCCAGTATTGTCTATTGAAAGCCAGTTTAGAGTCCATCCTCCTAACCACTACACTAATCTGGGAGCACCAGGTTCAGTTCCCTACTCCTTCTCATGCAGCTGCTGGTGTGACAATATAATCCAAGTAGTATGGACAGTGTTCTATCACAGCTGTTCTGGGAAGAGCTCTCTCAGCCCCACCCGCCTCACAGGGGGTGTCTGTTGTGGGGAGCGGGAGGGAAAGGAGATTGTAAGCTGCTCTGAGACTCCTTCAGGTAGTGAAGGGCGGGGTATGAATCCAATCTCTTCTTCCTTTATTCAGACTGGCAGTGATTCTGCAGGCTCTCAAGTATAGAACGGTCTTTCACATCATCTGGGACCTTCTGGATGACAGCCAGATGCTCTGCCACTGAGCAACGGTTCCCCCCTTTGGATATCAAAACAAAAAACAAATACCTTTATTGGCATAAAATATTAAACAGTTGCCATAGGGTAAAACAATCCTATGAAATTTGTGAAAAATAACTTCTAAAGCATTACAAAGGTATGTCTATTTGTATGAGCTTAAATTATAGCAATATAAAATTTTTCCCAACCACAAAACTTAGAATTAAATTATACAAACTCATTGAATTCAATTAGAATGACCAGGGACATTTTCCCGTTTTATAAGACCATAAAAGAACTTGGCAGTCAATTCAGTAATCTCCGAATCTTGAGAAGTAAGGAGGTAGTGTAGCTTGCTTCCGTCCGGTTGGCATGCTACCTTGCTAAGGGGGACTTCCAGAAATTTCACTTGAATGTCATTTAGCAAATTACAACGTAGAAATACATGCTCAACTGTTTCTATTTCTCTCTTATTGCATCCGCAATATCTAATTGTATAAGGGATTTTCTTATATCTCCCCTCAAGAATAGCAGAGGGGAGAACATTAAACCGTGCTAGCATATAAACTCTGCACAATTGCGGTGATATCAGGGAGAAAAAATATTGTGGTGGAGCACCAGATAGTGGATAGGCCCTTCTAACTGAGGAGCACCTACCCCCTTTGTATATGTTGTATTGTGCATATGTACTTTAATTGTTTTTAATGTTTTCATCTTTGCTGCTTTGGGGTGCGGGGACCCTATTTAGGTGGAAAGGTGGCATAGAAATGTTTCACCAGTTTGGTGCAGTGGTTAACTGCGCGGACTCTAATCTGGGAGAACCGGGTTTGATTCCCCACTCCTCCACTTGCAGCTGCTGGTATGATCTTGGGCCAGTCACAAGTTCTCTCAGAGCAGTTCTGGAAAGAGCAGTTCTGGAAAGAGCTCTCTCAGCCCCACTGACCTCACAAGATGTCTGTTGTGGGGAGAGGAAGGGAAAGGAGATTGTTAGCTGTTCTGAGACTCCGAGTGAAGGGTGGGGTATAAATCCAATCTCCTCCTCCTCCTTCAAATGAAATAAAGAATTGACAAGGTTTAAACGTTGGCTTCTGACGCTGCTGTTTGCGTAGGATGTCCAGGTTCCGGTCTGTCCTCTCTGTGACATTCCCATCCCGGTCAAGAAGGGAGAAACGGCCGACGTCGTGGTCGGAGCCCACATGGACAAAGGCTGTCGGCCGGATTCCGCCCGGCAGAAGGAAAAGGTAAAAGAAACATCTTCAGAAATGTTTGCATCGGATACAAGTTGGCAGCCAGAGCACATCTATCAGGGCCCTTCTGTAGGCAGGGCTGCCAATTCAGAGTTGGAGAATTCCTGGAAATTTAGGGGGTGGAGACCAGTGTTCCCTCTAAGCTGAGTTAGTGTGAGCTACCTCACAGTTTCTTAGCCTCTGGCTCACATTTTTGCCTTGGCTCAGGAAGGAGGGGCTCCAGAGCAAACTAATGTATGCAGTAGCCAAATGGTTCGCTCACAGCTTTACTGCCAGGAGCTCACAAAGTAGACTTTTTGCTCACAAGGCTCCACAGCTTAGAGGGAACATTGAGACTTGGGAGGGGAGTTGCCAGTCTCCAGGTGGTATGTGAACTCCATAGGAAAACAACCACGATGTGATAACCAAGTCGTGTTTAGAGACAAAAAATATATCTTTAATTAACCATTAAAGTTGTTTCCTTTGAAATAAACCGGTCTCAAGTCTTTCTGATGGGAACACTTTGTACACGGCAAAATCTCCCCACAGGGAAGCAATGATAGCATAGAAAAACATCAAACAATTTTTTTGTACAACTTGGTTTCCTGTACTGGAATACTTGACCTCTTGCCCGGGGGGGGGGGGTTCCTCCCAAAAAACAAATATTATCAAAGTCTGTTAGACTTTTAAAACTTTAGGTATCTGTATTTATATGATGGTTGCATTGCACATGACATGTTTGCTGGTTTATTCTTTACTATTTCTTACTGAATACCCGGTCACACGGAGAATTTGCCGCACGAAAGGAACGAATGTCGGGGGGATTTTCGGGGTGCAATCACACTGCAACATCTGGGAAGCGTAGCACACCTGTGGCGTCCCGCTGAAGATGCGGAGTTAAAAAGTACCAAGGAAAGTGCACTAGTATCCGGAAAATGCGCTGCACAGGCAGGCGTCTGATTGTGGGAGCGCTACCATCCCATGGCATCCGGCGCCCATCCACGTCCCGTTGCAAACCGGATGTTTTTCTTAAGCGCATGCGCACAAACACAAATCTGAAAGCAGTGCTGCTCCGCTGAACTCCGCATGCGCACAAACGCAAAATGCTTGTGTGATCACGCCACACTGCAGCATCGCCGTGTGATCGCCAGCTAACAGCCGAAGCACGGAGACTCGGGGGACCATGTGATTGGGCTACCGTGCTTTATTTTGCTCCGGGGCAAACAGCCACGCCTCCCCCCCCCCCCGCGTAATTTGGCCCGTGTACCGGGGCCCTTGTTGTTTTGTTTGTTTCTTCAGAAATAAAAGCATAAATTGGGGGGGGGGGAGTCTTTCTGACGGTGCAGCGCTCAATGGACCGTTTCAAAGTTTCATCAGATGAGACCTTGCATCATTCCTATTTTTTCTGCAACTCCCCACCCCGCCCCGCTCTTTCCTCCCTTCTAGCTTAGGAAACAACTTTAATGGTTAATTGAAGAAGATATATTTTTCTCTAAACACAACTTCGTTATCATATCACAGTGGTTTTCCTACAAAGTTCAGCCTGTCCCGTGATGTCTTGTCCTTGACTTCAGTCTCCGGGTGGTGGCTTGAGATCTCCTCGAATGAGGGCGGGTCTCCATACGGCAGAGAACAGTTTCCCCTGGAAAAAAATGGCTGCTTTGGAGGTTTGGGCTCTAGGGGGCTCGACCCTGCTGAGGTCCCTCCCTTCCCCAAACCCCGTCCTCCCCAGGCTCTACCACCCAAATCCCCAGGAACTTCCCAACCTAGGCCTGGCAGCCTTCCTGGGGAGGGCGTAATGTGGGGAAGTGACATGTGACGTTGAGTTTTCCCTCCAACGATCGGGGCCACGCCCCCAACGTGCTCAACGTGGTTGCGTCACCTCCGATGACGCAGCCACGCTGTGCTTCGGGGGGCGGGGTTCCCCCCGGGGCCCGATTCCGCGGCAGCGGAAACCGGGCCTCCAAAGCGGGGGTTTACCCGCCCCCACTTGGGAGCTCTAGGGCCTGCATAGGTGAGCTCAGGCTGCCAACTTGTATCTGATGCGGACGTTCCTGGAGGCTGGAACCCTTCTCTACAACCCAGATGCCCTATTTCATTGTTTCTTGAACGTCCTGTCCTGTTGATTTTATTGACTCACCTCCATGTAATCCGCCTGCAGTCCCCGTGAGACAGGCAGATGATAAACAGCACAGATAAGGTAAGTAAAATAAAGCTGCTTCCACTTGAGGAAACGGGCGGCTGTCTGTAGCTGGGAATCCCAAGAGTGCCAAACGCTACAGGACAGAGCCGTTCCGACAAGCTCAGCCACCCCGATCCTCAGCGTTCTCTCTTTATTTTCCCGGCATTTAGATTTTCACGAACAAATGCTTCAGGCCCGGCTGCAGGAAGAAAGAGATGATGAAGCTGGTTTGCGATCAGTGTCGCCGGAACTTCTGCCTTCAGCATCGGCACCCCCTGGATCACGAATGCCCAGGGCAGAGTCGGAGCGTCTCTAAAGCAGGGTGAGGCTGCCTCGGTTGGCTTGGGCGACTGAGAGGGAATCTTGAGTTGCTCTGGGGGGGGGGGGGGGGGGTTAAGAGCACTCCAGTCCCAGAATATTGCAGCCCGCTGGCAATACCTCTGCTCACCGTGGACATGATCCGACTCCCTTGTCTCCACTGTACTGTTTCACTCTCTTTCGATTCACTCTTTAAAAGACGAGTTTGGTGTTCTGTGGCCTAGTGATACAAGAGAGTGGCCCGCTCCAGACTGGGAGACTTGTAGAGACTTGGGGGAAGGACTGAGGAGGGGTGCAGTTTGGGGAGGATCCTCAGCAGGGATGTGATGTAGAGCCGCCATTCCCCAGGTCTTGGCGGGGGAATCCCCCAGTTTTGGGGGCTTCTGGCTGCCACTGGTCAGCTGATCGGTGGGAGAAACCCTGCCCCCAAACAGTGATGTCGTGTTGGGGACATCACGCAGCGACGCTCTGGGTTTTGGGCAAAACTCTATGGTTTGAGGTCAATTTTACCACAGAGTTTTGCCCTCAAACCAGAGCGTCGCCGTGCGACGTCCCCAACGTGGTGACATAACACCAGCGGGACGTCATTGTGTTGTGGAGCCCCATCCTACTCCCAAAAGGCTCCCTCCCAACCCTTGCTGGCATGTCAGTGAGACCAGGCAATCCTAATGAGATGCCGTAGAAGCAGCACACCGGAGCGGCCATTTTTCTCCAGGGGAACTGATCTCAGCAGTCTGGAGGTCAGTTGTAATTCTGGGAGAGCTCCAGCCTATGCCTGGAAGTTGGCAGTGCCAAATACGGCATCCCCCATTACTGGGATATGGGTCAGGGCTTGATACTGTAGTTGAAAAAATTGTGTTTCCATGGTAAAATGGAAATTGGACTGCAAGCATGATGCTAGGAGGAGAAAAGAGCTAAACAGAGGAACGACTATACGGTGCTTAAGAGGAATCGTGAAAACAACTTCCATGGGAAGCGGCAGAGTTTAAGGGGGGGGAACTAAGACCCCCAATGTGGTGCCTGCAAAATGTTTTTAGAAAGTGGGTGTGGCCAGGTGGGGATTTTACCCAGCAGGGCTTCTGATTGGCTGTGCAGATTTTTAAAAGTTTTGGCAGCAGCTGCCACCACAGCACAAGTATCTTCGATGTGTGACTGAAGGTAAGCTGCGGCAGCCATTTTGTGATTGGCTCCGCCTCCTCCGGCAGCCATTTTGGGGCCACGCCTGCCACACTGTGTCAGAATTCTGGAGGTGCCTGCAGGCTCAAAGTTGGGGAGTCATGAACTAGGGACTGCGTAAACTGATCAGTTGGGACTGATAATACGGAGAAATTTCCAACTTGCATTGAGCTTTGAATGATTGCAAGTTCCAGATGACTTCAGGGACTGAAAACGGTCTTGTGAACCAGGGGAAATAGCTGATTTGTCTTACATGGTCAAACTTTCCCTTCAGGCGAAGTCCCCTTTGTCTAGTTCAATGAGAACCCGCAGTTGCTGGGAACCAGCACCCTTTACACGAACCTAGAAGCTGCGTCGCTGGCCTCAGGAAGCTAAGTTTGGCTGTTCTCCTTGCAGATGCGCCGCTCAGATGAGGTTGCTGGAATCCAGGCAGAAGTCCTCGAATGGTCAACTTCAGCACAACAGGTAAATGGAGGGTCTAGCTCTTCCAAATATTCCTCCTGAGCGTATGTGTCTCTTTGGGAGCTGGTGTGCCTCTTAAATGTATGGGTCTCCTAACGCTAGGAAGCGAAGCTATTGCAAAGCCCGGTTTAAAGTGCATGAGTTTATTTTAGAAAGTGGTTCTAATTGGATTTGTGTTCTTTACGGAACTCAAGCTTTGGATCCAGGTCAGTGTTCCCTCTAAGCTGAGTTGGTGCGAGCTAGCTCACAGTTTTTTAGCCTCCGGCTCACACATTTTTGTCTTAGCTCAGGAAGGATGGCTCCAGAGCAAACTAATTTATGCAGTAGCCAAATCGCTTGCTCACAACTTTAATTCCAGGAGCTCACAAAGGAGAATTTCTTCTCACAAGACTCTACAGCTTAGAGGGAACATTGATCCAGGTCTCTCTTTTTTGGAGTTTTTGTGTGGTGTGCGAGTGCATGCACCTGGAAGTCAGGGCGACCTTTGGTGATGGACTCCTACTGGGGCCTGGAGGAGATTAGGAGAGGTGGCTGGATAAAGCCTGCCCCCACCTCCTGCCTCTGGTATTCCAAGGAGGTCTCCCATCCAAGCATTTGCCAGGGTCCGCCCTGCTTAGTTTCCGAGATCTGACGAGATCGGGCTTGCCTGGGCTATCCGGGTCAGAGTGGATCCAGGTAATCTTGTGTAGAAGACTTGTTCTTCTTTGAACTCGTCTGTAATGCTGGTGACCACGGAAAGCGCTCTGAAGTCTCAGCTGACTTAGGGCGACCCCGTCGAGTTTTCAAGGCAAGAGACATTCAGAGGTGGTTCGCCATGGCTTGGCTGACTTCCTTGGTGGGTCTCCCATTAAAGTGCTATGACCAGGGCCGACCAGGCTTAGCTTACGAGATCTGATGACAGATAAGGTGAGGAGCTGTGTTAGTCTGTCTGTAGCTGGAGAAAAGAGTAAGAATCCAGTAGCACCTGAAAGACAGAATCTGTGGCAGGGGAGGAGCTTTCGTGAGTCCCTGCTCGCCTCTTCAGATGCACTTATTTGAAGAAGTGAGCACTGACTCACGAAGCTCATCCCCTGCCACAGATTTTGTTCTTTCAGGTGCTAAGACCTGATGAGATTGGGCTATCCCCGGCCATCCAGTTGAGGGCAGGGACAATCTGAGCTGGTTTGCCATTGCCGGCCTCTGTGTACCACCCCTGGGCTTTTCTCTGTACTCTCCCATCACCAGGGGTCATTTCCTGTGGGAGTGCACAGGAGAGGAGCTCCGGCAGGGGGCGGGCACATGCAACAAGCCCTGCCCCCTGCAGCCCTCAGTCGGGCCACAAGGAGCAAGAAGCAGCAAGGTAAGCTGTAGAGCCCCCTCCCGGCCCACCTTCAGGTACAAGCTCTCCCTCCTCTGTGAGGACAGATCTGCATGTTCTCTCCCCCCCCCCAATAGCTAGCAATCCAAAACAGTCCAGTGGAGCCTGAGTGGTGGGTGTTGCCTTCTGACACACTTCCGGTGATGTCAGGGGGTGTGGCATATGCATATAAGTCATGCTAATAAGTTATGCTAATGAGCTCCTGCACCTCTTTTCTACAAAATGACCCCTGCCCATCACCCTGCTTAGCTTCTGAAATTGATGAGATCAGTCTAGCCTGGGCTATCCAGGTCAGGGCACCTAAAGTTAGAATCATAGAGCTGGAAGGGACCTCCAGGGTCATCTAGTCCAGCCCCCTGCACAATGCAGGAAATTCACAAATGCCTCCTCCTCCACACACACTCCTCCAGTGATGCCTGTTTCATACCCAGAAGATGGCAAAAAACCCAACCCTCCAGGATCCATGGGCCAATCTGGCCTGAAGAATAATGGCTTCCTGACCCCAAAGTGATGATGGGCCTCCCCCTGGACGTGTAAGAAAGGGCCACGAGAACTAAGCCACGAGGCAACCCTTCCTGCCCTCCCTCTCAGGATCTGCCTAAGTTCACATAATCAGCATTGCTGTCAGATGGCCATCTAGCACTGTTTGAAAACCTCCCCAAAAGTTGAACTACTTATTTATTTACATGATGAACTGTCTGTCTCTCTTACTGAGACTCAAGGCAGTTTACACCGCAGAAGTAAAATACCATCAACGGGATGGGTCATCTAATAAAAAATGGTACAGAGTTTGAACTGCAGGGCTCTAAGGCAGCTGAAAGACAGCATAAACATTTTAATATGAAATAGTAAACGACGCATCTGAAAAACATAATTTCAAAAGGGGAACTGCATATACACCTGTAACTCCCACACACACCTTTGATTGCGTCTAATTAACCAACTGTGCTTAATTTTCAACAATCGGCTTTCCCCCCTCACAGCTTGACTACCCAGAACTCTTCTCTTACAGGTGTAGCGCAAAGAGCTGAAATTGCACAAACCGGAGCCAGAACTACCTCAGCTGTAGGACTTGTGATGTGTTTTCTGTACTAAAGTATTTTGCATCTTAGCCTTTCTAATAAAATCAACCTTTCCAAATGTCACCTGGCACTCTGCTGAAGGATCAAATAGCCATTGAGTTTAATAACCTTGTGTGATCCAGACTAGCTTGCAGAAAGCAGTTGTGTGTGACACTGCAGTTTGGAGTGGGGAGAACACTGAAGAAAATAAAAACGGGGGGCTCAAGCAAGGGAGCCAAGTAGTATTGTGTCTTATTATTCCCTTCTTTCTGTCTTCATCTTCAACCCTCCGCCCTCCCGCCACAGCCCAGAAGTAAGATCTAATCATAAATGCTGGTTGTGAATGCTTCTGGGTATCCCTTGACAATACTGTAGGAAGACTGATGTTTAGAGGGAGTATATGTTGTATTTACTCGTCGGGGGAAGTGACGGTCAAGAGAACTTCCCATCAGCCAAAGCCACCTTGAGTTGCAGTTCTGAAAATGGCCACATGATGGTGCATGCTGGCTTCCACTTGGTCGAAAGGGCTGTCAAAGTCACTGCGGGCTCATGGTGCGATTTCAGCACTTTCTGACGTAGGGATTTGGGCACCACCACCCTGTTCCCCCATAACAGACAGCCTTTCGAAACAGATAACTCATTTTGGCGCGCTTTGAAATTTCGAAATTCCGGCTCCACAGCTCCCAACGGCCACCCCCTCCAAACCCAGTTTAAAACCCTGGAGAGTACAGTGTCCTTAGCCGACGCAGTGGCAATGTCTTTTGCTGTAACAGGAGCCTGTGGAAGCTCCTCGAGGGCCAAAACGGAGCACGCTGGTGCTGGATCCAAGTCCCGGCCGGGCAGAGGGCAGCGAATGAAGGCGTCCGCATGTCCGATGGCCTTACCCGGCCGGTGCTCCAAATCGTAGTCATACGCTGACAGGAACAGGGCCCAACGGAGCATACGGGCCGACATAATGTTCGGGAGTTGCCGGTCCGGGGCAAAGATCCCGAGTAACGGTTTGTGGTCTGTTACCAGCAGGAAATGTCGGCCGTACAAAAAGTCATGAAATTTCTTCACTGCCGATACCAGCGCCAGTCCCTCTTTGTCTATTTGAGCATAGTTCTTTTCGGCATCGGTCAGTGATTTTGAGTAGAACGCGACGGGAGCTTCCCGTCCGTCCTCCATTACGTGGCTCAGAACGGCCCCCACCACAAATGGGGAGGCGTCCGCCGCCAACACTAACAGTTTCGTATCATCGTAGTGTGTCAAAACAGCATTGGATGACAGTAAAGCTTTTACACTTTCAAAAGCCCCTTGTTGCTCGGCACCCCACCGCCATTTTGCGTCCTTGTGTAGGAGCGCATGTAAGGGCGCCGCCACCGACGCCTTGTGAGGAAGGAAGGCGTGATAAAAATTGAGCAACCCTAGGAATGATTGCAGCTCTTTTTTATTCTTGGGGCTTGGGGCACTCCGAATGGCCCGCACCTTGTCATCGGTGGGGTGCACTCCATCTTGGTCAACTCTGAACCCTAGGAATTCCACGCTAGGAACACCAATCAGACATTTTGACTGTTTTACCTTTAAACCAGCCTTACTGAAGCGCTTGAGCACTTCTCTGACTCTGTGCAAGAGTTCGTCATCGGACCCCCCGGCAATAAGCACGTCGTCGAAATAGGGGACCGTTCCTGGCACCCCTCTCAGCAACACTTCCATGAGTCCCTGGAAAATTCCGGGGGCAACATTTACTCCAAACTGGAGTCTATTCACTCTGAAGGCCCCCCTGTGAGTTACTATTGTCTGTGCTTCAGCAGCTTCCTTAGTCACTGGGAGCTGCTGATAAGCCTGGGCAAGGTCAAATTTTGCGAAAACCTTCCCCCCTCCCAATGAAGCCAAAACGTGGCTAATCACCGGCACAGGGTATGAGTGCTGCTGTAATGCTCGATTTATTTTGTTCCACTTTGTTCACACCAGTAATACCAATACCAAGGGGTTCAAACTAATCAAGGCCCAATAGGTTAACTCGGTTACCCTCTGCCACAAGCAAAGACAGTTGAGCACATTTCCCCTTATACTCTACAACAAACGTATCCCTCCCGGCCAGAGGTATGCGCTTGCCCTGAAAAGCAGACACTTGTGTGTCTGCCGTCTTCAGCCGCCGTCGGCTCCTGGTGGGGAACAGCCGCTGCCACGCATGGGACGACAGGACAGTCACGGACGATCCTGAATCCACCTCCATGCTGCACGGCACTCCGTCGAGGTGGACGGTCACCTGGATCTTGCCGGCCCCTCCAACGCGTCGCACTGATGGCTGAGAAGTCACGCTGGAGGTCATCTGGCAGCTGGCCTCGCATTGCGCTGCTCGGGGACGTTGGTTCCTGGGTGGAGACGGTCGAGGAGACGCCTTGGATGCTCTGCAGGCACGGGCGATGTGGCCTCGCTTGCCACACTTCCGGCAATCCACGTCCCGAGTCCAGCAGCTCTCCCTCGGGTGCTTCCCGCCACAACCGGTGCAGTTTGGCTTGGTTGCAGTCTTCGGTGGGGTCCGCTTGCCTGCCAACGACGCAGATGTCCTCATGCGCATCCTCGCCTTCAGTGTCGGCCCCCTGGTGGTGGACACGCAGCTCGGTGGAGGCTAAACGCTGACGCACCTCTCGTGTTGATTTATCAACACGGGAGGTTTGCCATTACCTGCCTCTGCATCACACCCCTGGTATTCCTCAGAGTTCTCCCACCCAAATACTAGCCAGAGCAGACCCTGCTTAGCTTCCAAGATCTGGCTAGCTTGTGTTGATGGAATGTGACGAACTCTGTTCAATTATCAACAAAATGGCCTGTTAAGTACCAAAGGGGAAGACTATTGGAAATCATTTTTTGCTGTAGCTACTAAGATGGGGCCTAATTAAGAACCGGAAGGCGGGGGGAACCTATCATAGAGCACTCGTAGACTGCCCCGCCATCAGTACTCTTGTACCCAAACTTAGGCCCCGGTCACACAGAGAATTTGCCGCGTGAAAGGTACGAATGTCGGGCGTATTTTCGGGGCACAATCACACCGCAACATCTGGGAAGCATAGTGCACCCGTGGCCAACCCGTGGTGTCCCGTCGAAGATGCGGAGTTAAAAAGTACCAAGGAAAGTGCACTAGTATCCAGAAAACGTGGGGCAGGGGCGGGCGTCTGATTGCAAGAGTGCTAGTATCCCGTGGCATCCGGCGTCCGTCCATATCCCGTCGCAAACCGTATGTTTTTCGTAAGCACATGCTCACAAACACAAAACTGAAAGCAGTGCTGTTCTGCGGAACTGCGCATGCGCACAAACACAAAATGCTTGTGTGATTGCACCGCTTCTTTGCCACGCTGCAGCATCGCTGTGTGATCACCAGCTAACAGCCAAAGCACGGAGACTCGGGACCATGTGATCGGGCTACCGCGCTTAATTTTGCTCCGGGGCGAACAGCCACGCCTCCCCCCCCCCCGAGTTATCTGGCCCGTGTGACTGGAGCCTTAGAACACCTGCAGTAAAATAGCACCAGTCGCTTGGACTGCGTGGGAATCAAGTCCAGTCAGGCATCTTTAAGACCAAGATTTATTCAAGTTATGAGCTTTAGTGTGCAAGGCACACTTTTTCAAATACCCTGGAATGGTAGATGAGGTTCTAAACTTATAGACAGGGATTTAATAGTCAATTAACATGTAGCATGTCATCTTAATCTTAAATATCATCATGTTACATGTTAATTTGCTGTTAAGCTTTTAGGGAAGGGAGCTGTGTCCATGATTGTTCCTATGTTCATTTGCTGCTATCAGTTCGCAAAGAATGTTATCTGTAGTAAAGTTCCCTTGCTCGAAAGCCAGTCGAATCCGACTCTAGGGTTGCGGTGCTCATCTCCGTTTCAAAGCCGAAGAGCCAGCGCTGTCCGAAGACGTTTCCGTGGTCATGTGGCCGGCATGACTAAACACCAAGGTGCACGGAACGCTGTCACCTTCCCACCGAAGTGGTACCTATTTATCTACTTGCAATTTCTTGCTTTCGAACTGCTAGGTTGGCAGGAACTGGAACTAGAGACAGGAGCTCACCCTGTCTTGCGGCACCCGGGTCTTGAACCGCTGAACTACTGACCTTCCAGAGCCTGCAGTTCAGCGTCTTAACCACTTGAGCCACCGCAGCTCCCGTTATCTGTAGTACTGCTTTGGAAAAAAAAATCTCTTGAAATGCACCTTTCAACTGGCATCTGTGTCGCAGGATGTTTTTCAACAGGATTCAAAACTTCTTTGATCTGGATACACTGACGAGGTGTGAATTGCATCTTCCACTTCTTAAGAAGACCCTTCCCTTTGTTAAAGTCTTCACAATTAGGACTTAATACCTTTTGGTGAATTTTTCTGAACTTATAACAGAGATTGTATATTTCTATGAAACTCATTGAATATTTTCATATGTGTTGCACTGTTCGCTTGAAATTTATATAGAGACTATGAAATGCATTTGTAAGTAATTATCATTCGTCTGTCACGGTTTAATCTGATTTGATATAGATGTTTCTGTGATTCTCCCTTTATTTGGTTGGGTCTTAAAGGTGCCACTGGACTCTAAACCTGATGTGAACGGTTACTGCAGAATCAAGTTATGTGGGTTCAGCCACTACTGTATCTACTTTGCTACATGTGTGCCTTTTTGGATACGTCTGCGAGTTTTGAACCACTTGTGACTGGGATAGTTTGGAATGTTCCAGAGGCAAGGCTTATTTTTTTTTTTTTAAATTAAAATATTTCTGCCCTGTCTTTCTTCTTGGCTAAAGGCACCTATAAAAATCTGGCAGGCCGTACGTTCTAGAGAATTTTTACAACCCTTCAGTACAACCACATTAAGATGAAACAGCTATGTTGATTCAGTAGAGCAAGAGGAGGAAAAAAAGTAAATAAAGAGATTGCTCTCACAACTGCTGAGTTTCTTAAAGAAATCCAGCCGGCACCAAGAGAACAGTACAAAGGAACAAAGTTTGAGTCCAGTGGCACCTTTAAGACCAACAAAGTTTTGTTCAAGGTATCTGAAGAAGTGTGCACGCGCACAAAAGCTTATACCTTGAATGAAACGTTGTTGGTCTTAAAAGGCGCCACTGGACTCAAACTTTGTTCTGCTGCTTCAGACCAGCACGACTACCCACCTGAATCTATAAGCCACGCTGGTCCATCGAGTCTGGCATCCTCTTCCTCTCACAGTAGCCGACAAGCAAGGTGTAGGGGACAAAACCTTCCCCTAGTACAGGTTCAGAGGTTGACTGCTCCTGAACATGGAGGTGCCTTTTAGTCCTCGTGGGTGATAGCCATTGACAGACCTCTCACTTCCATGAGTTGGTGTGATAGCCTTTTGACAGCCAATAATACTTTCAAATAACCTAATATCTAATAAACAGTGACTAGGAGGATTGGGACTGCAGAATACGGAAACCAAGTTTATTTTGCCTTTCTTCCTCCTCCAAGGAGTTTGGGAATGCACTAAGGCAACAAGTTGGGAAATAACCTGGAGATTTGGGGGATGGAGTTTGAAGAGGGTGGGGCTTGGGTTGGAGGCTTCAGTGGGGTAGAATGCCGTAGAGTCCACCTTCCAAAGGGGCCACTTTCTCCAGGGGAACTGGTCTCTGTCACCTGGAGAGCAGTTGTAATCCCAGGACATCTCCAGCCATCACCTGGAAGTTCACAACAAGAAGCCATTACCTGCACAGTTGGAAAACTGGAAAAGTAACAGAACTGTGCAACAGATATAGAAGGGAAAATAACAAAACCGTGCAACATATATACACTAACCACCTGGAAGCTGGCAACTCTAGGTAACATGCATTCGCCACGCCTCCATTTTTATCTTCACAACAGCCCTATCAGGTAGGCGAGGCCGAGAGGGAGGGTAACTAGTCCAAGGTCATCTAATTGAAATTCCCTTCCTCCGTTTTAGCCTCACAACCACCCTGTGAGGCAGGCAAAACTGAGAGCCCAAGGCCATTTAGTGAATGTCATAGAAATCATAGATTTGGAAGGGATCTCCAGGGTCATCTAGTCCAACCCCCTGCACAATGCACAATGCAATGGAAATGTGGAAATACCCCTCCCCCCACACGCCCCCAGTGACCTCTGTTCCATGCCCAGAAGATGGCAAAAAAACCCTTCCAAGATCCCCAGCCAAACTGGCCTGTAGAAAAATTGCTTCCTGACCCAAAGTGGCTATCAGGATTTCCCTAGGTGAGGAACTGAAACTAGGCAGATCTCCCAGATCCAACGCTGTCACTAAGCACCACACTGTTGCTTGTTGGGAAAGTGGGGCATATTAGTTATCCATCCCTGCGTTCCACTTTCCCGAACTCGGGGTCCCGTTTTCTCTTTGTGCCCGGCGAGAGCCTGCCCCTGTTTTGCGCACCCTGCCGTGCGAGTCTGGGGCGCCGTGGTAGTCCGGCGGGAGGGGCTGACGTCACTCCCATCGGCCCGCTGGAAGAACCGGGCTCAGCGGCCAATAGGGACCCGAGAGCCGCCACGGGCTCTCCCTTCCCCCCTCCCTTCCTCACCCGTCGCGATTGGTGTCGTCATCTCAAAGCGCCACAACCGAGCCCCGCTCCCTCCGCCGGGGCTCAGGCGAAGACGCGCTGCTGAGGAAAAAGAGACGCCGGAGCCAGTGGAGGGCGGGGCTTTGGAGCGGTAAAGAGCTCCCATTGGCCGGGCAGGTTTAACTGACAAGGCAGGGCCGAGTGAGAGGTCGCGCGCTGGCCTGGGGGAGCCAATGGCGGCGCGAGGGGGGCCCTGAGGCGCCAAGCGAGGGGCCGAGTTGAAAATTGACAGCGAGGAGGAGGAAGGCGCTTGGGCAGAAAAGGCAAGCTTCTGCCTGAGGTGGGTTTCGAGGGGGTTTGGATAGGCTCCATTTTGCCCTCTTCCCCCGTGGTTTGAGGGGAGGGAGAGACTCAAAAGGGGGAAAGGAGCTTTCCCACTCAGGCTTGTGGAACTCCCTGCCACTGGAACATGGTAGTTTTGGAGCTGAGAGGCCCCTTTGGTGGCTGTTAGTGAGGACTTAACGGGCTCCTCTCCTAGGGGGTTACCAACTCTGGTTTGGGGAATTCTTGGAGGTTTGGGAGGAAGGACCTTCAGTTTCTATGGTATACCATAGAGTCTGGGAGAAACTGAAGATCCTGCCCTCTGGGGAAGTTGATCTCTGTAGCCTGGAGACCAGTTGTGATTCTGGGAGGACTCCAGCCCTATGGTGTTGCCAGCCTCCAGGTGGTGGCTGGAGATCCCCTGTCATCGCGGCTGGCCTCCAGGCGACAGAGACCGGTTCACCTGGAGAAATGGCAGCTTTGGAAGTTGGTCTCCATGGCGTTATGCTCTAGTGAGGTCCCTCCCCAAACTCTACCCTCCTCAGGCTGTGGAGCAGAAATTCTACTTTGTGAGCTGCTGGCACTAAAGTTGTGAGCAAGCAATTTGGCTACTGCATAAATTAGTTGGCTCTGGAGCCATTCTCCTGAGCTAAGACGAAAATGTGTGAGGCGGAAGCTAAAAAACTGAGCACTAACTCAGTTTAGAGGGAAAACTGGCTGGGAACCAGTGTTCCCACTAGGGTGAGTTGGTATGAGCTAGCTCACAGTTTTTTAGCCTCCGGCTCACCCTTTTTTGTCTTAGCTCTGGAAGGACGGCTCCACAGCAAACTAATTTATGCAGTAGCCAAATTGCTTGCTCACAACTTTAGTGCCAGCAGCTCACAAAGTAGAATTGTTGCTCACAAGACTTCACAGCTTAGAGGGAGCATTGCTGGGAACAGTGTTCCCTCTAAGCTGAGTTAGTGTGAGCTAGCTCAGTGTTTTAGCCTCTGGCTCACACATTTTTGTCTTAGCTCAGGAAGAATGGCTCCAGAGCCAACTAATTTATGCAGCAGCCAAATCGCCTGCTCACAACTTTAATGCCGGTAGCTCACAAACTAGAAGTTTTGCTCACAAGACTCCACAGCTTAGAGGGAACATTGGCTGGGAACCGTAGCCAGCTCCCACCTGCAGGCTGGCAACCCTGTAGAATGGCTGAAGAAGGGTGGTGGGTGGGCTCACTGCAAATGGGGAGTGTGAAAGAAAAAAATGCAGAGGAGCTGGAAGGGTCTTTCTACCCTGCTAGGTGCTTATTTTTGCAAACAGGAATGAAAATCCCTGTAATGCCTTTTATTAAGACCAGTCCAGTAAGCCTTGGGGGGTCTGCACTGGGCTTTGTGTCCATTGCGTTGGTCCTAATAAAAGGTGTCCTGACCTAAATGGCTCAGTCTAACCTGATCTGGCCAGATCTCTGAAGCTAAACAGGGTTCAGCCCTGGTCAGGACTTAGGTGGGAGACCACCAAGGAAGCCCAGGGTTGCTGCACAGAGGCAGGTGATGGCAAACCACCTCTAAAACCGTCTCTTGACTTGAAAACCCTGTTGGGCTGCCCCCCCCCCAAAAAAAAAGAGTATTGCTCAGATTTTGTTCTTGGATTTTTGCATGGCTCAGTGTGGACTTGTGGCTTTTTCTTTTTTTCCAATTTATAATTTTTATTTTTTATAAACACCCAAACAAACCATACAACAGTTATTAACCATATATCGGTAACTATAACCATACATAAATGCCTAGAAGGAATGCTGTAACAAAATCAAGATTCATATCACATAGAAAAGCACCTTAACAAAGGAGTGCTCATATATCATAAATTTTCTTAAAAGTACAATAAGTATAATAAGGATTTTTTGGTACAATGTTACTATTTGCTAAATAGTCTACTATAGGAAACCAAATTGCTTGAAAAAGCTTTTGTTTATTTGCTGTATTCTTTCCACTGGTTTTTTCTGAAATCCGGCTAAGCACAAAATATTCCCAAAGTTTGTTTTGCCAACAATATAATGATGGAGCTTCTTTCGCTTTCCAAAATTGGGCAATTGAAATTCTGGCAATTGCAATCAGTATTGCTGTTTGCATCTTTACACTTTTGACCTCCAAATCTACAATCCCCAATTCTAGTACAACAGATTCTAAAGAGGCAGGCAAATAGACAGCATTAATTTTAACAATTTGCAATAAAATCTGTTTCCAAAAATCGCCCACCTGAGACTTGTGGCTTTTTCTTACTTCTGTGTTTCCTCTCCCAAGGGTGAAAGTCTGATAGGAAACTAGCGGGTAATATAAGGAAAGAGGTCTCCCCACTGACCTGCATGCAAAGCTGTAAGAGATGCCATGGCCTCTCACAGGCTTAAATTTTGGATGCAGTAAAATTGGGCATGTTTACAGTTTGAAGTGCCTCCCCCACCTTAAATTTAAATACCATATACCATGTGATCTTGTAAGTTTTTTAAAAGTTGAGCGCTGCAAGGGAAGCACGTGCGGCATGTTCTTTAAACTTTTACAGATATCCTACTGAAAATTATGTCCTTGCAAAAGCTTGGCTTTAGTTTGAGTGTAACCGTGAAACCGCACTTTATTTTCCCCTCATCGAATGTTTAAGTATAGGCATTTGTCGTAAGAAATTCACTGGAGGTGCTTCTAAAAGTGTGTTTAGTTACCGTAAATCAAAATCAATGTGCTGTATCAGCACACCCTCTCTTTTAGGGCATCGGATTAACTTGCTGATTCACATTTTCCTGGGAAATCCATACTGCTGGTCTGTCCTTGTTTTATTATTTCTGAATGGATAAGAACAGAGGGGAGAGCTCTGCAAGGTGTCATGAGCTACTTGAAAGTAGGGTAGGATAAAATTTATGTAGTTACAAAGAAGAGATTGGATTTATACCCCACCCTTCACTACCTGAAGGAGTCGCCGAGCGGCTTACCATCTCCTTCCCTTCCTCTCCACACAACAGACACCCTGTGAGGTAGGTGGGGCTGAGAGAGCTCTCTTGAGAACTGCCCTTGAGAGAACAGCTCTGAGAGAACCCAAGGTCACTCCAGCAGCTGCATGTGGAGGAGTGGGGAATCAAACCCGGTTCTCCCATATTAGAGTCTGCGCTCTTAACCACTACACCAAATTTTGTTTATACCCTTCTTTTCTCCCCAGTGGGAAACCAAAGTGGCTTACATTGTACTCCTCTCCTCCATTTTATCCTCACAACTACCCTGTAAGGTAGGTTAGGCTGAGAGCATGGGACAAACCCAAGGTCTCCCAGCGAGCTTCCATGACTGAGTTGGGGAATCTAGACCGATGTTTAACAGCTATACTGCACTGGTTCTCATGTGCTAGACATTGCTGGAGAGCTGCTTTTCAGCTTCCTTTAAGTAGTCTCAGATGATGAGCATCCAGTGGAGGTGCAGAACCAGACACCTCGGGGCTACCTCCACCTCTGTTTAAACAACACCTTCACAAGGCCCAACAGCAGCAGTTGGGCCCAAGGGCTCATTCATCTGTGCTCTGAATATCTCATTATCTTTTTTTTAAAGGTTTTTATTGAAAATTTAACATCAGATACAAAGACAGATTAGTGGCAATAAACTGTCATATGCCAAATACAGATTATCACATTACAAATTTCAGTAAAAAGAGTAAGTACTTCACAATACAATAGGTCTCAATACCACGGAAAATTAAGCCACAAAAAATTATGCCTATCAAGTGAAAGATGGTGCCAAAGGGTTATAGCAAATAATCAAATATCAATTAATTCACATAGTAAAACGTCTATAACACAGTTCTGATCAAAACGGTGTTTGATTTGAGCAATAACATTTAAAACAGGGTACCAGAAATTATAATAATCAAGAGCGGCAGAGTAAAGGTCTTTATTCGAGGTTTGTATTAGTATTCTTTCCATCGTGAGATAATCCCATATGTTCCTGTACCATATCTTAAGAATTGGGGGCGAGGGAGATTTCCATGAGGAGGCGATTGCAGACTTTGCAGTGACGCATAATAGAGAAATCAAATCTTTCTTAATTTGGGGATCATCCCACAAGTTTAGCAACAGTGAGTCTTGTTATCTGATGTAGGGCCAAAATGCCCTTCTGCACTTTACTTATGTAAAACTGGCCTGCCTCTGTTTCAAATAAAGAAGCTCTGCTGGATCAGATCAATGCTCCACCTGGTCTAGCATCCTGTCCCCACCCCTGGAAGAGCATGCAAGAAAGGACACAAAGCCCCCCTGCCCTGAATGTGGTCTTCAGATAGGTAAAGTGCTCCTGAACATGGAGGTTACATTTAGCCAATGTAATAGCTGCCCTGAGCTTTTCTGGGTGGGCAGGTGTAGAATAGAAATAATTTAAATAAACAGGTGTAAATAGTGAAGCAGCAGTTAGCTAAAGCCATCTGCACAATACCTTGAGATAACTGAGAAAACAAAATGTAAACATCTCTTTTTTTTCGGTATTTTTTCAGTATTTTGTGTGTGTGCTTTGTGAGCCTGGCAATCATGGTGACTTCTGGCGACCCCTAGTGGGGCTAGGATGTTTCAGAGAGGTGGCTTGATCTATTGCCTGCCTCTGCATCCCGGCCCTGGTGTTGTTTGGAGGTCGCCTTTCCAAGTACATGCCAGGGTCGGCCCTGCTTAGCTTCTGAGATATGACAAGATTGGGCTTGAGTGAGCTATTCAGGTCAGGACGACAAACCGTGAACGTCTTTAGTGTGAAACAACTAGAAATGTACCTACATCATTCCTACTCATGCCCTTGGATTTAGAACATAAGAACATAAGAGATGCCAATGTTAGATCAGGCCGATGGCCCATCTAGTCCAACACTCTGTCACACAGTGGCCAAAAATACCAGGTGCCATCAGGAGGTCCAGCAGTGGGGCCAGGACACTAGAAGCCCTCCCACTGTTGCCCCCCCCCAAGCACCAAGAAGACAGAGCATCCCCTGCCCCAACCTATGAGTTCCTATCTATACCTTGTGGCTTTAGCCACTGATGGACCTCTGCTCTATATGTTTATCCAGTTCTCTCTTGAAGCCGTCCATGCTTGTAGCTGCCGCCATCCTGTTAGTCAAAGCAGAAAGGCAGGGCTTCTGCCGTCCAATCCCAAATGAGGTTACAACCATGTGGATTTGCTGAAATCAGTGGGGTTAGAAGGAGGTAACTGCTTGCGGCGAGGTTCAAACTGTGAACAAAGCTGTAACATCATGGGTTCCCCAATGAGAAGATCAATAATGTTAGACCAGCTTTCCTAAGAGTTTTGGGACCTTTGAGAGCCCCAGTGTTTCTGTTTAGCTTACTAAAGGTTCCAGGGAAAAGAGAAAATTGCTTGCTGTTTTTCCTATGTGTAGTTGGTAATCAACATATTTCAAAAACACACAGAGAGCACAAAACACAAACTTCTTTTAATTGTTTATTTTAGAATGGGAAATAACAGGAAAGGTGCAGTCATGGAGAAAAGGAAAAAAACGAAGCGTCTCGCATCAGAACAGGATCCACCGGCGAAGGAACCGGATTTGAAAAAACAGAAAGCCAAGGTGAGTGGGCGGAACTGAAGTCGTTCCCGTTTACGGAGCGTTTTTGTGTCTTCAGGAAAGATGTAAATCCTGAGACTTTGAAAATGACAGACACAGATATATTCCAGAGGGGAAGGAGATAGGAGGGTAAATGCCACACCACATTTGTTCAGGGCCACATCATGACTTTGGTGGGCCATAGGCACTGTTGCCTTTATCCCCCCCCCCCGTCATAATAATATCAATATTAACAATTATCTCTCCTTATATATAATTGAATAGTGGGTGCCAAAGTTCTAATTCTAAAATGCACTCCCTTAGTGTATGGCTGATGGCACTGCTCCTCAGCATATATCGCCACCAATCAGAAGGCAAAGCCCAGGTCCCGCCCACACCACAACTGCTGCGACAACCTGGTCTTTTGCATATGGAAGCTGATTGGACTTCAGTCCATTCCACACCTCAAACTCCCCCCCCCCGCAAGGCAGTTGGAATGTCAGTTGCATATGGAACCTGCTGTATTCTGGTGGTGTGCAGGTCCCAGGTTCATGTTTTAAAAGCAGACTGACACTGTTTGCCCAAAGCCAGAGCACTCTCCCAGAGCCTCTTTCTAGATCTCGTTGTATTTATTTCCACAACGGGCCTTATTTCTAGTTTTTTATATAACTCTAAATACTTCAACATTTTATTTTATTTTTCCTGTTTTTGGCAAAATTTAATAAATTTTCCTGGGCCCTAAATGTTTCATTTTCTTTCTGACGTGAGAAAAAAAAATAAAACATTTACTTCGACCCTAAAAGTTAATTTTTTTCCCTTCTGATTTTAAAATAAATTAAAACATTTGTGTGGGCCCCTAAAAGTATCGTGGGCCCTAGGCACCGTGCCTACTGTACCTAATGGACAAGTCAGCCCTGCTCATGTTATTAACCTGCGTGACACAAAATTATTTGTTTTATTGAGTGGAAAACAAGCTGAAAGAACTGGGGGAGGGGCATGGAAGATACCTTTGTCATAAATGGAACAATCGTCTGAAACCGCGATCTTTCGTGCGTTCACAGGAAATCTAGCCCAATTGTTCATATTTACATAATGCACATGTAACAGCTCTGTAGTTTGGCAGAAGCTTCCAGGCTGAAAAACTTTCCCGTTGTGATGTTTGTCCCCATTTATTTGTTAAAAATATAATTTTACTGGTGTCAAGATGCCTGTATGCTTTGAAACAAGTGGCCCAACTAGCGTACATACAGTAACCTTCACAGAGGAGCAGGCTTAATGTGTTACGTTGCAGGCAGGCGTAGACATTTCTCATACCTGTGTCGATAAAACTGCACATAGCGTGTGTGAAATCGGAGAGGGGAGCTTGAAATTCTGTCAGACTGGGGCTTGGTGGCTACTCCCAGTTAGAACAGCTCAGTAAAAAACAGACGGAAACGTACTCTCTCAATATTCTCTGGACTGCGTAAGATTCTCTAGCTGCTTCCCACCGCTGAGACATGGATGTTAAAAGTACTGAAAACTTGTATATTACTTTGTGTCCCTGTCCGCTACGCATTCCCCAGTGGGAGAACACTTGTACTGCACTTCAGATGTTATGATATCCATATGCTTTTCCCCCCTCCCCTCTCCTTAAAAAAGGAACATCGCATGTGAAGCAGCCCTTTGGTGCTCTTCTTGAGTCCCACAATCTGGCTCTTGTTAGCAGGACAGGACCGATCCCGCTGAGAGGAGAGGAAATTCCTCTTATGCCCCCTGCCTCCTCCATCCTGTAGGGGTGAAGTCGTGGCCTTTGCCAAACAGAGAAGGGCAAACGGCTCAACCAGAGGTTTTTGTGATATCACTTTCTGCAAGTTCATGTGCCTTGAGTCTGAGAATTTCCAGGGTACGCAACCAGTTTATGGATGTTTGAGAGATAACGGTGGTCTTGTCACTGACGTCTTTTGCTGCCCCAGGGAACCACAGTTTTGTTCTTGTGGTTTCTAGTGTAAAGAATGGAGTTCATTAGACGATTAAACCAATTCAAGGCCTGATAGAAAATTCTGATTATACTGACTTCAGACTCCTGATTTGAGGCGTCTCATTCACAGTGACGGCTGTTAACTCGTAGCTATGATTATGGCTTGGGTGAGGGGAATATTCCAGTATATTTTCACATGAACCTTTCGTTATATTTTGTGTAGCAGCAGATGTGTCAGTCTGATTTATTTATTTATTTATTTATTTGGATTTGCATCCCGCCCTCCCTGCGAACGGGCTCAGGGCGGGTAACAACAATATAAAATACAACACAATATAAAACACACAGGGCTCTTTCTGTAGAGAACTCCCGATTGCGCCTTCTCTGATTAAAAAAAAAACGCCATGAAAGGCATTTGTTGGAAGTGCCTTTTCAGTCTGTCGAGACACTCTTAGGGTTTTTGGCTACTGGAAGTTTTGTCCTTTTTATATCAGGTTCCAAAGCGGTAGCAGATGGATTTGGGTGGAATTTTATTGTTCGAAGTGATTTTATCAGCTAACAAACCCTTGTTAATTCGTAGCTTTTTCGTGATGGTCTCCTAGGCTTGGCGCTGTCACCAAGACAATGCTGACTTCCCTCCATCTTTCCTAAATCTTGAGAGCCACTGTTGGAGTAGTGGTCAAAATGTCAGACTAGGATCTGGGAGACTCAGGACCAGTGCTCCCTCTAAGCTGTGGAGTCTTGTGAACCAAAATTCTACTTTGTGAGCGACTGGCATTAAAGTTGTGAGCGAGCCATTTGGCTGCTGCATAAATTAATTTGCTCTGGAGCCCCATCCTTTCCGAGCGAAGACAAAAAGGTGTGAGTCGGAGGCTAAAAAACTGTGAGCTAGCTCACACCAACTCCGCTTAGAGGGAACACTGCTCGGGACTGAGTCCTCACTCTGCTGTGGAAGATCGACCAAAGATCTTGGGCCAGTCACTCACTCTCGCAAAGTGGTTGTGAGGATAAAATGGAGAATAGTGAGAACGATGTATGTAAGACGTTTCAGGTCCCCATAAACGTCTTCTGAGGACCGCCGAAGTGCTTCCTGATGAATCCGTTTCGTATCAGTCCTCCTGTAGCTTCTAGGAAGACACAGAAACAGAGAGAATGTGATGTGGCTTTATACAGAGATTCCATTTTCCTGAGCCTGTGAGATTTGTTTTTCTTGAGGAAATCGCTGTCAGCCACTGTTCAGCATTTGCTAAGGACCTCTTTGTCTGAAACTGCCAGCAAATGAACTTCGTCTGAGCTCTTAAAGCAGGACAAACTATCTAAATAAAATTGTGTGGGAGAGTAGAGGGAAACCTCCCCCCCCCTCCCCCCGCATCAATTTAAAGTGTTCTGTATTTGACCAAAGGACCCGGGAAAGCTTTTAGCTGGGCACCCTTTTTCACCAACAGGAGTTGATCCTTTCAGAGGGTAGAGAGAAGAGGAGAGGAGATTGGATTTATACCCTGCCCTTCACTACCCGAAGGACTCTCAGAGCGGCTTACAAATTCCTCTCCCTTCCCCTCCCCACAGGAGACACCCTGTGAGGTAGGCGGGGCTGAGAGAGCTCCTCCAAGGACTTTCCTTGAGAGAACAGCTCTGAGAGAACTTGTGACTGGCCCAAGGTCACACCTGCAGCTGCATGTGGAGGAGTGGGGGAATCAAACCCGGTTCTTCCCAGATTAGAGTCTGCGCTCCTAACCACTACACCAAACTGGCTCTGTTCACCAAACTGGCAGCCGTGTTGGAGAGTCCAGTAGCACCTTAGAGACACACAAGGTTTTGGAGAGGATGAGCTTTCAAGAGGGAAAGGGAGCTCTGAGTCTCCAAATGTTGGTCTCTGAGGTGCTACGGAACTCGCATCTAGGCCCCCCCCCCCAGTATTTGTCTTGACATAACTTGGTGTGTCTCAGCGTTCAGTCCCAGTTCTGGAGCAGCGTCTGTCTGTCTGTCTGTCCTTCTGTTCGTCCCGTTATCTGCTGCTGTTCTGATTACTACCCACCCTACTCCAGTCCACACACCAGCACTTTGGTGGTTTGGGCTGTAGAATCACCGTAGCCAGGGGAAGTATCCTCTGCTGATAACTATTAGACCGTCCCACGGGGCTTGTACCTTCGATCATGAGGTGTGGATGTGGGATTTGGCTGCGTCGGTGACACACCTGAAGCTACCTTATCCTGAACCAGGCCATCGGTCCATCGAGGTCAGCATCGTCTACTCAGACTGACAGCGGCTCTCCAGGGTCTCAGGTGGAGGTCTTTGCCATCACCTCCTGCCTGGTCCTTTCAGTTGGAGATTGAACTTCTGACCTTCTGCAAGGCAGTGTCACTGGGTGGAGCCAGGTCATGGCTCCTCTCCTGTATTCATTTATCTGTTTTATTTATTAAATTACATTTATTAATCGCCTAATCCCCATTACCGTGGGGCTCTAGGTGGTGTACAACATTCTAAAAACATAAAAAGCATCCAACTTTATACAATAATTTAAAAGCAAGTGGCAGAAATTTTTACGATTCCCTCCCAGCTGATCTGTGAGTGCTCTGTGGAGTATCACAAGTTCTATCTTGTCCCTCCTCTCAAGGATGTAGCGACAGTTACGTGTACCCTTTTAGAGATGTAAAATTTCCGGAAATTTTGAAGCTCGGAAAAAAAACGGGTTTTTTTCGTTCCCCCCCCCCCCCGGAAAAAAAATGAAATTTTCGGAAAAATTGAAAAAATGCTACATTAGCATTTCTTTTGTCTTTTCTAGATTGAAAGTCATTCTGTTACTTTAGGAACATAAAATATGACTATGGACATTTTTACTTGGCATGAAATTATCACAACTAGCATATTAAAAATATAGTGTATCCAAACAATTATTACAAACAGAATACCCACCCACATGCAAAAACAAAACTGAAACCTTTTTCTTTTCTTGTGACAATAGCACCTCCTAAAGGAAGGAATGCATCTTGTTCTTGCATTGGAGAGTTCAGTTTGTAACCTAGGACTTGCTTGTGCTCAGTGCACAGAAATTAGATCAATCTGATAC